GCCTGGCCAAGGTACCTTTAGGAGAAATAGCTACAAAGGAAGCAAAACCGGAATGCTCTCACCTTTACTGAGCTACACGTGCCTGGGGATCTGAGGAAGACACCTTGGACTGAGTGAGAAATGGATTTCTAGTCCTGAGTTCTCTGTCAACAGGACTCACTCCTATCACAGCACTGAAATCCCCTCTACAGCGATGCTAGTTGAGAAACAGTCCCACAGCTAGACCAGTCCTCATTTTGGCCTCACTTGACAACTGTGGAAGAATTACCACACACAGAACCAAAGGCTGCTTTTCCTGCATGTAGATTTTAGGATGAATTAAGCAGCACTTTATGGTGACTTTAGTCCTATATATGCAATCTTTAATACTCAGTTTTCTTTGCATTCAGAGAATATTGACAGCCCCTGGTGGTTACATTAAAACGTGGGAGTCATTCAGCCTCATGGCCACAGTATTTGCCTACATTTTAGGAGAGTTCAAATCACAAGGGTGGCTCTAGCCAGTAGGTTACTGTGCAGTGAGCCAGGCTGTGAATTGACAGCTCACCGGCTTGTTGTGTGGTAACATCCCATGTGGACACTGCTGCAGCACCATCCAAGTCCCAGAGTGCAGCTTGGCACACTTGAGTAAGCCAAGCCGAACTCCAGGGCTTTCACTGCGCTGTAGTGACGTGGATAGGGGATGTTACCACGCAATAGATTGGGACCCTGGCTAGCTGAATAAAGTTACTAATTGTGGGAAACTTATAGACTAATAGAAGTGGGAGGGGGAACACACTGTATAAGCCCTGTGCTGTCAGGCAGTATTTCCTAGCCTTTGGGCTTTAAGGCAAATGCTAAACTACTCTTGCTGCTTTAAAAATGAGCCTCTTGCCCCCGCCTCTGAAGTGTTTTCTAACCTAGCATGTAGTTTAGGCTGCTGTCCTGATCACGACCGAGCCCAATTGCAGTCTAGAGCAATGCACAGTTGAATGGCAGACAGGCATTCTTTAGTAAGTCGGTCGTGCAGCAGTTAGGACATGCTTTCCCCTATTCTCCACCGTCCTAGAGACAGGCTCAGGAAGAGGTTCTTCAAAGTGTCTGTTTTCTATCACAGAATGGCATGCAGGCTCGCTGTGCTCCTCAAGGCCCTGCTGAGGATGATTTGGGATGTATCTACTGATGAAGGCCTGACACCACAGCCAGTGAAAACAGCCCTGCTCCACGGGGCCACAGAGTGCCTGATCCTGCTGGATCACTGCTCTCAGGGACAAGTGAAGGTGAGCCAAGGACTCCAAATCCCATTCTGTAAATCTGTTTCTTTAAAGGGAGAAAAAAAAAAAGTACTGGTGACTTTTTAGGACAGAATATCATGTAGAAGGGCTCTGGGCATGTGGGGCTTTTTTTGGCTTTCCCTTAGCAAAGTCCTGGAGTCCACAGCAGCATCTGTAGTTAAGGGAGACAGCTAAACACACCACCCTTTTGGAATTGTAAGGCTCTCTGGGCTAGTATGTAACCATAAAGGTACATAGACAGACACAGTCAGGTGTACTCTTCTGTAAGTGATGCAGAAGGTGGCTCAGGAGGTAACTTAGATACATACACAGGAAATTGTGGAGATATAAAAATGAACCATTGAAGTACAGGGACATTACCACCCCACAGTGCCTCAGTGTTTGCAGTACCCTTCTCCAGTTGCTGCAATGTAATTAAGGTGGGTAACAAGAGAGTAGTACCATATGAGGCCAAACAGCACTGAAAGTGAGGTGTTTGTGCTTTTCCCCTTTCAGATCCTGCTTGAAGGAATCTACCACAGCTGTGATGACTGTAGCCTTCAGGCATGCATCAGGCAAGTGCAAGAGAACACCTGAGACACAGCTACTAATAGCCAGAACCTGCTTTTTTGTTTTTTATTACATTAAAATATTTAAATTTCTGATTTTGCACCAGTCAAAATGCCCCCTGCTAAAGTCACACTGTCAGGTACTCCTTCAGCTATACAGTCCCACTGTCCAGCACACAGCTCAAGTTTATATCCTCCTTCGAAGGCGTCAAGTTGCTTTAGATTTGGATGCAGGTTCTGTTTCCTGTTCATACTCTATTTCAATGTAGGCTCGTTTTATCCGGGCTGGTCCTTTCACAGGAGTTTTGCCCTTGGATTTGGAGTGACAGGTTCTCTCTGCCATCTCTCTCTCCTCTTCCTCGCTGGAGGATTTGTCATCCTGCTCCTCCTCACTGCTTGTCGCCAGCTTATCCATGTCCTGGACAGGAAGGAAGACAGGAGGGTTAATACAGATACTGACTTGAAAGCACTGTATCTTAACTAAGCCTCTGCTCCTCTGCAAATGCATTACTCCCATCATGTAGGTCCTGGCTCCCTGTTGTCTATTCCATGCTGCCTTTGAAGGAAATAGAACAGATACACTGCACTCTGATATAACATGTGAATCCAATTGCTCAGGCGCTAATCCCATGAACACAGCTCTGACCACAGCCAGAGTGAAGGATGTTTAGGATTAAAAGGAGATAAACTGGGCAGTTGCAGGAGGACTGAAAATGGCAGGATGAGCAGGGCTGTATTCCATTGATTTAATATCCATTCATGCTCTAAGTTTAGCTATAACCTATCAGCTGGTTTAGTGTAATCCTCGAGCAAGATCAGGGTCAGAACTCTTGGTGTCTGTATCACTGCACATGCATTACACCCCTTGCCAGTTGATGGGTAGCTGAATCAGGCTGTTTCACATACCTCAAAGTCACTGAGGTCGCTCTCATCTACCTCTACAAACTCCCGCTTGTCAGCATCCTGTAAGAGATCAGGTCAGAAATTGAGCATCGAGACTAGATACACCGCACGAGGACTGGAGGGTGGGGGGAATATCACTGGAGGAGGGATATGCGCAACCCACTCGAATACTGGGAGTCAGGTCCTGGACCATCTTTTACACAGGAGCCTGTAGCCCTGTCCCCCATTTGCTACATAGAAGATTCAAAACTGTAAGTGATGAACTAATAGCAATACGCTCTCCTCACCACACAGTATTCACTAAGCAAATTCCAGAAGTGAGTGATGCATTTGCCTGGTGTCTCTGCTAAGCAAGGAACTTTACTAACTGCAGCAGTGGCATACAGCAGGCTGCCTTCTGCAAGCAACAGTGGTATCTCTACGATCTGACAATTTTCTGGACTAAATCCCCCAATTATTGGCACTGATTCTTAAGTAAGGGATTTTAACACTTGTAGCAGGTTACAGACAGTCAAGTTATCTGCAAAGGGTTTTGGGGTTGGAGGAAGTGACTAGGAACAAAGCTACAAGCCAGACTCCCATTGTACTTGGCAAACAATAGGAGAGAGGAGAATGGAGACGTGAGTGAATATTAATATGCAGTTGTCTCCTTATACACCCCTCTTCTGCAAAAGTCAAACAACCCCATGTGCGTGTGTGTGTGTGTATATATATATATATATATATATATATATATATATATATATATATATATATATATA